TATCTTTCATACTAAATTGACTCTTTTTGTCTTGGAAATGAATGTTTAATCAGTTAAGACACCGAAGTCGAGGGAGAAGCCTTAAGCGTATTTAATTTTGTAAAAGGGGCCCAATTCCAATGCCGTGCATGATTCCAGCCAGTAGCTATACCTTTGGAGCAGAAGGCCGACTCCCATGCATGTCTGGGAGGTACAGCAGCCGGGGTAGGGGCCAGAAGGAATCGGTGGCCTCTGGGATCAGGACCACGGGGGCGGGGGGGGGGTTGGCACTTATGAGATGCTGTGAAAGGCCCTGGCCTCGCACATCCCTCCAGGGACCACGTCCTTGGTGCGACTCAGAACATGGTCTCATACACCTGAAGCAGCTGACCACCAGGGTATCTCTGTACCACCTGTGGCCTTGCAGGCCAGCTGCACCATCCCTCAGCCACCTGGCAAGACAGAGAGATGGATGGTACAGGACAGAGCTGGGTTTGAATTCTGGTTTTGCTGTTTAAGAGCCATTTGGCATTAATTCATTCACAAAGTACTTACAGAATCTACTTATGCTGGCCGGGCCATCGCTCCTACAGAAGTGATCACCCCACATCAGAGTCAGCAGCCTCTTCTGGGCACACGGCACCTTACACCGACGCTCTTAGAGTATTTACTACATTTTTAGAAATGGGCCCTTCACTTTCTCTCCATCTGCACCAGGAGTATCCCAAGGGCACCTTGTAGATCCCAAACCCAGAACAATGCCTGGTACCTAGTTGGTACTCAATAAAGGCCATTGCACAGCTGAAGATCACGGTGGCAGGTGGAAAAAAGCCCCCCCCCCAAAATCAGGTCCCAATCCTTGGAACATGTGAACGGTACCGTATTTGGAAAAAGGGTTTGCAGATGTGATTAAGTTAAGGATCTTGAAATGGGGAGATTATCCGAGATCATCTGCAACTGCCCTAAAAGCTGTCACAAGTGTCCTTACAAGGATGGCAGAGGGAGCTTTCACCGGGAAATGAGAAAGCCTCGTGAAGACGCCACATCAGAACAATGTGGCCTGCAAGCCAGGGGCAGCCAGCAGCTCCCAGAGCTGGAAGAGGCAAGGGTGATTCTCCCCCAGAGCCTCTGGAGGAAATAGCCCTTTTTGTCATGAGCTATGAGATCCGTGATGCAGGAGTGAATGTGGGTAAAGTTTGGGTCACCGTGTTGCTGGCCTTTGGTGCTGGGGTTAACAGAGACAGTGTGGGGCAGTGGTTAGTGTGCAGGCTCTGGAGTCCCATGGACTTGAGTTGGATCCTGGCTCTATCTTGACTTCATTCCAAGGATGCTGATTCTGGACTTCCGGAGCTGTGAGAGAACATACTTCTGTTGTTCCAAGCACCAAGTTTGTAGTCATGTATTGGAGCCACCACGGGAGGTGAGTACAATCACCTGCCTCCCCAGAGTCTCCATGCCCCCATGACAGTAACACCTCCTGCCTCCGCTTGGATCTTGGGGGTGTGTCCTATTAAGAAAATGTTCGCAAAGCACTCCGCATGGTGCTTGACACCTAGCAGGTGTCAACCCCAATGCCAGCATCACCCATCATCACGTGCATGCCCGCGCGCACACACACACCCTCAGCCCATCATCCCACAGTTCAGATGAATTTAAAAACTTTGTCTTGAAGGGCCCCTTGTCTCTCTTTGCCAGATCATCCCAGGGAATGTACATGCTCTTATCTGGTTTTCCCAGTTGGTCTGCGTGTTCTCCCTGGGTAATAGGGTTTGGCTTATCTTTCATTACATAAAGAGGGAATATAAAATCCAGTGAACCCTTGCAAAGTCTGACTAATGGAAGAATTAAGGCTATCTGAATTTGTGAAGCATCTTAAACATGAGCTAGTTTTAAAGAAATCTGGGACACAACTGCAAAGTGCCTGTTTGGACAGAGCCCAACAAAAGCATTTCCTAGGAGGGGTGGTGAAGGGGGGTCATCTTTGATAAGCAGATAACACGCTTTGTCATGATCAGTGCTATTATGACCAGGCGGCCCAGCAAACACACCTGAGAGTATCTGTGGCCTGCTCCTTTAGGTAAATGAGACTTAAGGGAAAACACTGCTATTTGGTTACAGTGGGAATTCATTTTTATTACTAATAACAACAGTAAATAGTCCCTGTTTACTCTCTGCCAGAGATCTGCTTAGACTTGACATGCATTAGCTCAGATATACTTCCCCACAATGTTAGGCGGGTACTAGTTTGATTCCAAGACAAGGAAACTGAAGTTTCAAAGGTAGAGTCAAGATCTATCTAGGGTCTGTGGGACACCAATGTCCGCTCACTAACCACTACCCCTGCCAGCTGTTAACCCCAGCACCAAAGGCCAGTGACACGGTGGCCCAGAACTGTAGCCTACCCAGCCCTGCACCATGACTCACACAGCATGTGATAAAAAGATCCACCTGGCCCTGCTCTTGCTTGTGTTGCTGTAAATCCCAAACAGGGATGGGCTGGAGGAGTGAGGAAATGAGCCAAGCAAGCAGCTGAGGTATGAGCATTCTAGAACTATCTGGCTGTGGGGTCGGAGTTGCCGTCTCTTAGAGAAGAGGAAGCTGAGGACCTGCATTATTGATGGGCCCAGAAGGAAAGGATTGCTGGAGAAATGGGATGTCAATTTTCATCCAGCTTTTTAGTGAGACCTGAGCACCATAAAATGTGGGTCTTGAGTTGGTTTTCTCCACCCGTCTCCCTCCCTTTTTTCTCTCCTTTTATTTCTCACCTAGTTTCAAAAACAAACAAAAAATGTGATACGCCTTACAAAAATATAAAGAGCACCCCAGATTTTTTTGGAGCAAGGAAATGTGGTGGTCATAAAGGAAGCATAAACAATAAATCAAATACAGTTGACATCGTTTGAATATAAAGTGCACACCCTAAGGGGTCAGGCAGCTGCTGGAATTGGGCCACAGATTTGGCTATGTCTTCTGAGCAGTCGCTGCAGAGGTCAAGACAACCCAACCAACGCCATGAAATTCTGCTAGGAGAATCAACTAAGAAGCCCCTCGTCTCCTGCCACAGGTGTGCTTGTGACTCAAGCTAGCAAAATAGAAGATTGCTTCTTCCTGGACACAGGGGTTTGTCCGTCATTGTCTAGTCATGGCCCTCCCTAGAAGACCCAAACAGCCACCTGCCAGAGATGTCAGAAGATGTTGGCTGCCAACAACCATTATGCCTGCTGGGTGGACCCTGACACTGCTGGAGATTCTGGATCAAACCATGCCAGAAACCCTCTGTCTACCCCCAGACATTTCAGTCTTTCTTGCATAAGCTACTTTGAGTTTGGTTCCTTTCACTTAAAAATGGATGTAAGAGTTGTGACTAGTATACATTATTAACTGGAAAGAAAAAAAGAAAATTAAACACAAATCACAATTGTTTGGGAGAAGTACTAGAATTCCCTTGAGGGGATTTTTCTATTATATAAAAAAAGATCTACTGATTTTCTATAAATCTTGATGGTCCAAATCTTCCATTCACGCTAAAATAAATAAATAAATAAATCTCTTTAGCATGGAATTCAGGGCCCTTATGATCCAGGCGCTGCTGATCTCTTTCACCTCCTTTCTCTCTCCTTGGCTCCGGGTTCTTTGTTTCCAGCCCAGTAAAAAGAATGAGCCACATGCCATTGCCAAGCATGGCTCGAGCACCTTTGCCTGCCCCTTTTGCACATGCTCTTCCCCCAGCCTGGACAGTTCTTTCTCTTGACTACCTGCTAGATGTTTACTTATTCCAGTAACTTTAACTCAGTTATCACCCTCTTCTCTGGAAACTTCAGCAAACTACAATTTTTATTTTTATTTTTATTTTGTAGAGACAAGGTCTTGCTATGTTGCCCAGGCTTGTCTCAAACTCCTGGACTCAAGCGACCCTCCCATCTCAGCTTCCCAAAGTGCCAGGATCACAGGCATAAGCCACCACCACACTAGCTTACAATTTGTTTTTGTTTTTTTTTTGAGTTGGAGTCTCACTCTGTCGCCCAGACTGGAGTGCAGTGGCCGCTCCCGGCCACTGCAGCCTCGACCTGCTGGGCTCCAGCGATCCTTCCGCCTCGGCCTTCCAAGTAACTGGAACTACAGGTGCGCACTACCATGCCCAGCTAATTTTTTGATTTATTGTAGAGATGAGGTCTCACCGAGTTGCCCAGGCAGGTCTCGAACCCGTGGGCTCAGGCAATCCACTCACCTCAGCCTCCCAAAGGCGCCGGATTACAGGCTGAGCTACTGAGCTCGGCTGCTTACAATTTTTTAATTGTATGTTTTCATTTATATAAAATGTCCAGAATAGGCAATATGAGACAGAAATGTAGAGTGGTTGCCTAGAGTTGGGGATTTCAGGGATCAGGCTGGGCGTGACAGCCAAAGGTATGACATTTCTTTAAAGGATGACAAAATGTCCTAAAATCTATTGTGTTTGTTGATGGTCACATAACTCTGAATATACTAAAAGCCATTAAATTTTACCCTTTATTTTATTTATATTTTTTGGAGACAGGGTCTCGCTCTCTCACCAAGGCTGGAGTGAACTGGTGCAATTACGGCTCACCGTAATCTCGACCTCCTAGCCTCAAGTGATCCTCCTGCTTCAGCCTCCCAAAGTACTGGGATTACAGGCATGAGCCATTGTGCCCAGCCTAACAGTACACTTTAAGTGGTTGGATTTTACAGTGTGTGAATTATATCTCAATAAAACAGAAGCAAAAATTTAAAATAATAATGAGACACACTTTAACAAATAATAAAAACCAATACCATGACATCATAAACAGAGCCCTGGAAGTGGGCAGTGTGCCAACGTTAGGCTTCCCTCCACGCCCACCCCCTCCTAGGCCTGCAGCAGCCTCCCACGCAGGTGACCAGCCAAACCCAGACCCTGCCCATGAGGAGAAGGTCCTCCTCGAGGCCTGGCATTCTGCTTCCCTCTCAACCCCATTCCCTGCCGTAACCAGCAGGAACCACGGCAGGTGACAGGGACTCACCGTGGGCAGCTGGCCCGACAGCAGGTGGCTGTCCTGCGCCAGCATGTTGGACACCATGATGGCAGGGAGGTCCATGGCTTGGTAGGAGTAGGCGGGGAGCAGACCGTTGGGGGGCAGGCCGTGGCACAGCGAGTGGTAGCTGGCTTCGTGGTCCCCCAGGTGCAGGAGGGCCGGCTCGGGGAGGTTGGGAGGTGTTATCGGGGGGATCTCATAGTCTTCGTGGTTCTCGCTCTGGCCGTTATAGTTCTAAAACAGCAAAAGGACATGTTGTCGGGGCTCAGTGTGAGCAGATCATACGCCATCACACCAATAACAGCAACAATAATGATAACAACCTCTTGGCAGAGGAGAAATAATCCTCTGCAGGATGACCCTGATTCAGGCCGACTCCAGCCCTAGCCCCAAAAGGGGTGCTCCCTCCCACCAGAGACTCTGCACACACACGCCTGCCCTCCCTGAGAGCGGGGGCTGGCTCCCATCCACCTGTGCCTCTGTTTTCCCACCAGATCCAGCTACCACAGCCCACCTTGGATCCATCTTTCCACACCCACCCATTTTACAGATGGGGACTCAGGTGCAAGGAGGAAGGCTGTCCAGCCAAGACGAGAAGAAGAGCTGGGAGCGCAGCTGAAATACCTCCACTCCCTGCCTGGCAGCCCTTCCAGGGTGGCCAGACGGGTTTCTCTTGTGCTCCCAGAGCTCAGCCCAGTCGAGGCCTCTTCTAGTCTTTTTCACCTTAGTAAATGGTGCAAACATGTCCACAGGAGCACAACTAGAAATCAGGAGTCACTCGGACCCCTTCCTTTGCAATCCCTACTTACCCCGAACCTTCAGGACAATGTCAATTAGAAGTGGTGAGAGCGGACACCTTTCCTTTCTCCTGATCTCAAGTATCTCAGTATTTTATCATCAAGTGTGACATTTGCCTCAGTTCTCTAAGGTATCCTTCAGCATGCTGAGGAAATTTCTAGTCGGTCATGGTGTGTGTGCATGTATGTGTGGGTGTATGCGTGTGTGTGTTTTCTAACTGTGCATGGTTTTTTAATTTTATCAAATTCTTTTCCCCTGCATCTACTGAAAGGCTTAAATGATTCTTCTGCTTTAATTCAGTTAATGTAGTAGCCGACTCATTTGGTTTTTAATGTCAGAACAGCCTCGCATTCCCAGAATAAATTACTTGGTCATGATATGTTTTTCTTATGGATTATTGGATTTTGTTTGCTGATATTTTGTTTAGAATTTTTGCATCAGGTTCCCAAGTGGGACTGACCTAGCATGTTCTGGACTCATACTGCCCTTGCTGGGCTTTAGTATCAAGGTTGTATTAGCTTGAAGAGCTCGTTCTTTGCTATTCTCTGGAAAAGATTAGACCCAGCAAAAGACAGATATGTGAACTGGAAGACGGATCTGAAGAAAGTATCCAGAATTCAGCATAGAGAGGCAAAGAGAAAGTATGAAAGGTTACAAGCACACAGTCAGAATGTCTAATAGACATATGTTCAGTCAGCATTCTGGAGAGAGAAGAGTGAGAGAACAAGTGAGAAAAATAACTGAAGAAATAGTTGAGAATATTCTAGAACTCAGGAAGGCTAGATACCAAAGGTATTGGTGAATATGAGAGTAAATCTTTTTATTCATATTTTTAATTGACAGATTAATATTGTACATATTTATGAGGTACATAAATAGGTATACCATATTGAGACAGTGGTGTTTCAATACATATATATAGGGATCAGATCAGGGTAACTGGCATATCCATCAACTCGAACATTTATCATTTCTTTGTGTTGGGAACATTCAATATCCTCCTTCTAGTTGTTTGAAACTATATAACATATTATCGTTGCCTATAGTCATCCTACAGTGCTGAATCTAAAATCAATCAAAAATATGTGCAGAGAAGAAAACAATTGAACCCCCAATAGCATATAATGAATAACATCTTCTAACATCCCTGTATTGTTTGACAAGTGTGTGGGTCATGAGCCTAGCACAGTGCCTGACTCCTGGTGGGCCAGCCTTCTCTGACTACTGGACGGATAGAGTCACTGGGCAGTGGAGGGTTGGTGTGCGTAGAGCCATGGCCACAGCAGGGAGCATAAGATACCTAAATGCTTGCTTGGGGTCATGGCCCTTCTCCTCAGGAGCCATGTGTGAACCTTACAACAATGCCATAGGTGGGAGGAGCCCTCAACTGTCCTTTATAGCCACAGATGGGAGGGTAAGAGACTTGCCAACCCTGGGGCCCACCCCATGCACCCAGAGCCCCTGTGGCCTCCTGTGGCTCCTTCTGCAGGACAGTTGTAGTTCTATCTCACAGCAGCCTGGGAAGAGGGGATGACTGTGGCTACCTTCTTGCTTCACCTTCTCCTTTCCCGTTCTTATACTGGGGTGTCTCAGGCTCTGTCCTGAGCTCCCCTCTCTTACCGCCCTATACTCTCTCCTAGGGGGACATCACCAGTCTCAGGTTTGAGTACCATCCAGGTGCATCTGGTGACCTCCAGTCTTGGTCATTCATCTTAGCTCCAGAGCTGAGTTTCTCAATGCCCACTCAATATTCCTGTTTGATGATCACATGCCTGTTCCCCCACCGTGCCCCTGCATCCTCCCCATCCCAGTCAGTGACACAACCACAAGCTGGGGCTCAGCCTCAGTCACCTCTCAAATTCAATGAAATGCCTCCAAACTTCCTCAAAATCCACTCTTTTCTCTCCATCCCCACTGACACCACTCTGGTCAGGCCACCACCATCTCCTACCTGGACAGTGATATAGCCTTTTCCTGGTCTCCACTGCCTTCAGGATAGAGGCCACAGTTCCAAGTCTGCCCCACAAGTCCTTGTATGGCCTAGCTCCCATCACCCTTCTAGCCACCGTGACCTTTCCTGCCTCTAGGCCATTGCCTGCACTGTTCCCTCCGCTCGTCTGCTCCGCCCACTGGATGCTCTTCCTTCATTGGGCTCGTTCCTACCCATCCCTCAGTGGAAGGTTGGGTTTCAATGTCTTCCCTGTGCTCTCTAGCGTAGCCCAGACCCATTACACACCCAGAATGGCCCGGCACGTCTCCTGGGAGGCACTCATTGAGCTTGTAGCTAACTGACTTCTTGTGTGATTATTTGTTCAATGTTGAATGTGTTTTGCTCACTGTATCTCCAATGCTGAGGTCAGAAACCTGGCACGGAGTTGGGGCACACAGTGAGAGCTCAGAAACAATGGGCAGATGGGAGAGCCAGGCCCTGGGGTGGATGTCATAAACATGCATCTCACTCGACCTTGGTGACTGCCCTGGCAAGGAGACCACTCTCCCTGTTGTGCAGGCGGCAGTGTGGTGCAGTGGGTTGAGCCAATAGCTTGGGTTTGAATCCTGGCTCTGCCACTTTCTACCTCTGTGTGGCTCTGGGCACATTCCTTTCCCTTCCTGAACCTCAGTGTCCCCAACTGTGAGAAAGGATATTGTCAGTAAGTATATACAGGGCTGCCGTAGAGAATAAATGAACCAATACATGCAAGTAGTGAGGACAATGTCGGGCACACAGTGCTGTCGGTGTTAGTTACTATTGCTGTCCTTGGTGTCCTCGTCTGGAGTTCCAGAGACATCAGGAGGTTTCTCCGAGGACAGGGAATGAGTAAGCCGCAGTTCACTGGCTCAGGTTTCTGACTCGCATAGGTCTGCACACCACGGGGTGATGTCTACCTTCAGCCTGGCCACTGAGATGGGCTGGGGGATGACTGCCTTTAGGTGGAAATCAACTACAGATATCATACCATCTCAGAAAGCACTGCTGCTTTCCTGTTCAGAGCCGCCTCCTCCAGGAAGCCTTTCCAACCTCTTTGCCCATTCTACAGCAAGACTTAACTCCTCCGATGTGTCCTCCACTGTCCCGTGTGTCCCCCTCCCATCTCTTCATGGCCACCTGCAATTATCTTTGACTCATACTTTCCTTCTTCTTGCAGCCCCCTCCCTCCAGATCCCAGGCCCCATGAGGGCCCGGGTTAAGTCTGTCTTGTCACCAGTGCCCAGCACAGTGCCTGGCAGACAGTAAGTAATCAATGACAACACAATAAACGAGCACCCAAAATGGGAGAAGGCCCCAGGCTCTGAGTTCAAACCTCACCCCACATCCATCGCTCCCAACATGCTGTCAAGTTCCTCAGCCATCCGTTGTTCACATCTGTGGACTGCCACCTCCCTCCCTGTCCCCCAGCACCCAGAACAGGTGCTGGCTTATAGCAGATGTGAATGCTAAGTGATGACACTAAGTGAAAACTAAGTAACTGCACGAGTCCACTCTTTCTGTCAAAAACCAAAACCTCCATCCACTGGAACCGGCCCAATCGGCCAGAAGCCTTTCGAAAAAATAAGCATATGTTGTATCAAAATATTGGAACAACACAATGATGACAATTCATTTAAAGAGGCAATTAGCACACTTAAAAATAACTAGGCATGCAAACATGTGCACGCCTCTTCTAAATGCGATCAAATCCTACGTACATGGCACCTGAACACAAACCAACCTAACATGAGCACCTACTGTACGCCAGCCACCAGGCCCAGTGTTTCCACATATACTCTCCACTTAATTCATACATGTTAGAGAATGGAGGTATCCCATAGCTAGTAGATCTTGGTTGAGATTCAGACCCAGGTCTTGTGACTCTGAACCTAGTATTTCCCCATACGAGGTCAGATTCACCCTGCAGCCATCCCTAAGGAAGAGATTAGCCACCCAATGGTGCCTAATGCTCTCTCTGCCACTGGGTCCTCATGAAACTCTAGAAAGAGATGCCAGTGGTGAGAGCTCTGGACGTCACAAACGTTAGTAAAGGTTTGCAGGTAGGAAGGAAGGAATTTGAAAAGTATCCAGCGGGATCACAAGTCTATCGCAGGGATATGCTTATGTTCCAGCAAATTATCATAATAAACTCATTCGCCTACCATAATAAAATAAAATGACAACTTAATAAAAAATTCAACCATTGGAAGTAAACAAAGTATTTTAAATAAGCCTTCCTGGAAAAATACTCAAAGCTAGAACTTAGAGAATGAAAAGAGAACCCGAGAGGGATTCTAGGAAGAGCACAAACTGAAAACCACTATATGGGATATTAATTCAGAACAGTAGCTGATAAAGTGACTCTGGAATTTAACGTGATTGCTGGAAAAAAAAATCTAAAACAAGAGAGAGATGGGATTCTAGAATGAATGCTGATCCTGAACTAAAAGTCTAGAAGACTTCAGCT